ACTGAACATATAAAGTGTACATGTTACTGAACATATAAAGTGTACATGTTACTGAACATATAAAGTGTACATGTTACTGAACATATAAAGTATTCATGTTACTGAACATATAAAGTGTACATGTTACTGAACATATGAAGTGTACATGTTACTGAACATATAAAGTGTACATGTTACTGAACATATAAAGTGTACATGTTACTGAACATATAAAGTGTACATGTTACTGAACATATAAAGTGTACATGTACTGAACATATAAAGTGTACATGTTACTGAACATATGAAGTGTACATGTTACTGAACATATAAAGTGTACATGTACTGAACATATAAAGCGTACATGTTACTGAACAGGTAAAATATACGTTACTAATACTGAACTGATGAACTGTAGACATAGTGAACAGGTAAACTGTGGCCATAACCTTCGTGCAATAGATAATCCATGTACCCAACTACTGCCGCGTCTTTGATTACTCGGATCTTCCTGAATGTTTGGAGTTCATGGTCTGTAGAGAACTGAAAGGCGGTGTTCCGTATGGCAGGAGTCCCTCGCCGTTATTGATGTTCCTGGTAGACTTGAGTGGTTCCTCGGCCTTGTCCACAGCCAGGTACTGTCTGTAGGACCGTACATGAGTAACATCTGCTGGAAGATGCACGTTGGGGAGTAGTGATGACAGCAGGAAGACTAGTCTTGATAGTAATGACAGCAGGAAGACTAGTCATGATTAGTAATGACAGCAGGAAGACTTGTCATGATAGTAATGACAGCAGGAAGACTAGTCATGATAGTAATGACAGCAGGAAGACTAGTTATGATAGTAATGACAGCAGGAAGACTAGTCATGATAGTAATGACAGCAGGAAGACTAGTTATGATAGTAATGACAGGCAGGAAGACTAGTCATGATAGTAATGACAGCAGGAAGACTAGTCATGATAGTAATGACAGCAGGAAGACTAGTCATGATAGTAATGACAGCAGGAAGACTAGTCATGATAGTAATGACAGCAGGAAGACTAGTCATGAGAGACGTGTTAGTAATGACAACAGGAAGCCTAGTCATGACATGCGTGACAGTAATAACATCAGGAAGTCTAGTAGTGTACTGTAGTTTGTTGCTTGTCTCATTAATGCTGACCTACGATTTTTTTCCTGTCCACTAATGTTTTTCCTGGTTCAATAAAAAATTAGATCATCAAGAAGTCCTATGGCAATGATGCAAAATTTTGGTTCATTAACAGTTAGAGATTATATGGTCAGGTCTGGTAACTGAGAAATCCGTAATCTAGGTTGGTTCATTAATTTGTTTCTCGCTATGTATCTTTTACATAATGTACTGTTTTGTGGAAAACGGATACTTAAATCTTCAAATACTTCCTCAAAACTGACTCCAGTTCTGCTAAACACTTGTGTAAAGTGTTTCAAGTGGTAGGGCACTTAACAGTTTCCACTTGCATACATTTCGTTTTCTCAAGATTACTCTCGTACACGAAGGGTGTGGCTAGTGTGCTTAGTCATTACTCATGTACGAACATACTCTGCCCTAAATGTTCTACTTAACTATGGGCTTTCTGTATGGACAACTAAATGTCACCCATCTCTGTACAGACAATGTATAATGCTGAAATAATAATAATAATAATAATAATAATAATAATAATAATAATAATAATAATAATAATAATAATATCTAAATTATTATATTGTAGTCTATTGTATCATCTAACCAACATCCAGAAATGAAAATCACCGCTTAAAACCTTGCTTACGACATTTTAGGTAAGTGCGACCTAGCACTGGCATGAATTAAGTGTAGACCTGATTTCTTAAACAATGGCAATCCTCATCATCAGCACTGTGAAAAAAAAAAAAAAAAAACTTCTGCTGGAGACATAGCCTTTACACGAATTACATTCTTAGTCGACTGTTACAGTGTAGACTTAATATCAGGGATGACAGTGTTGAAAATTGTGACTGCTGGGAGAGAGGCGGGATCTCTTTTTGCACACCACAGCATGAAGGGCGACAGCCATCACAGTGTTCAATTGTCCTTTCATGTGACAAGTGGTTCCGTTGTTGCAGCATCCACTGCTGTAAGCCTCCTTCACTAAGCTCCAAGATCATCCACTGTTGTAAGCCTCCTTCAGTAAGCTCCAAGATCATCCACTGCTGTAAGCCTCCTTCACTAAGCTCCAAGATCATCCACTGTTGTAAGCCTCTCTTCACTATGCTCCAAGATCATCCACTGCTGTAAGCCTCCTTCACTAAGCTCCAAGATCATCCACTGCTGTAAGCCTCCTTCACTAAGCTCCAAGATCATCCACTGCTGTAAGCCTTTTCACTAGCTCAAGATTCACTGCTGTAAGCCTTTTCACTAGCTCCAAGATCATCCACTGCTGTAGCCTTCTTACTAGCTCCAGATTCACTGCTTAGTTTCTCAAGCTCCAAGATCATCCACTGCTGTAAGCCTCCTTCACTAAGCTCCAAGATCATCCACTGGTGCATTTCTCTTCTATTAGGGGGGTACAAACGTCCTCCATTGGAGCTCCAGCAGCATCCACTGCTATAAATCTCCAGTAAATCTCCAGGAATATCCATTACTACAAGCATCTTCTCCAGTGCTTCTCTTCAAAGGTTTACACTATATATCACTTACACAGCTTTTATCTTCACCTGTTATCTGACTGATTCTCTTTCCGCCTCAGTTTCCAACTTGGAAACTGAGGCGAGAAAAACAATTCTGATTCAAGAACACCCTAATACCACACAGTGTCAAGGTAATCAAGCAAATGCTGTGTCTAAGGTAGATAAAAGAGTTATAACTATGATCATAATTTTTAAATGGGTGGACCGGTAAACCAGTGGAAGGCCTCGATCAGATGATCAAAAGCTCCAACGGTGGGTCAAATGACTAAGACCCGCATCAGGAAACACTTGTCCTGTTTCCTGACAAACCTTACCTAACCTAACCAGTATTAATTTATGTAAACATGAGACAATGAGGGTTGCTGTCAGTGCTGTAACACTGCTAATGAGATGGGGGTTGAGATGGAAGGCATCCAGGCTTAATTCAGGAAACTGGGGCACAGATCTAATTCCCTAAATCAAGAGCCCCTCACCAGGGAACATCCTTTGAGGGAAGTGGTGATAGTAAACGGCTCTTGATCCAAGGAATTGGATCAAATTTAAATTACCATTCTAGAGGCAATGAGTCTAATGTTCCCCCTTACCTGGAGTCTACCTGGAGGGTATTCCGGGGATCAACGCCCCCGCGGACCGGTCCACGACCAGGCCTCTCGGTGGATCAGGGTCTGATCAACCAGGCTGTTAATGCTGGCCACACGTAGTCCAACGTACAAACCGGCTGATCGGGCACCGACTAAGTATCTGTCCAGCTCCCTCTTGAAGGCAGCCAGGACCTATTGGTAATTCCCTCATGGCTGGTGGGACACTTAAGGTGTTTTCTCTTAGTGTACCAATGGCGCCACTAAATTTCATTGCAGGTATTTTGCATCGCCTGTCCAGTCTTTTACTTTCGTAGGGAGTGATTTCTGTGTACATATTCCTTATTACTGACAATTTTCCATTGTTTTTATTATTTTTGCTGATTTTAAAAGTAATTTCATTATTTTAACTCTTATTTATATTATTTTACTGATACTGAGTTAAAAAAAACTGATCTTGAAGAAATGTCTCTCCAACGTGGAATTTCAAGGAGGATTTTTTAACTAATTTACGAATGACGTGATGCCTTTGCATATACCCAAGGTCATTTAGGCCGGGAATAATACAAAGGGTCATCAATCTGTTACAACTGCAATGTTGCGGAATAATTGTATCTACACCTGAAGCCAATTTTGCTTATCACTCTGGAAAAAATGTGGGAGGCGTTGAGACTGTAATGTTATGATTAAGATGGTGTGCGTAACACACACACACACAACAACACAAACCCCAACACAACACAACCACACACACACACACACCAACACAATTATATATATATATATATTATATATTAATATATATATTTTATATTATTATATTATATATATTTGTCGTGCCGATAGTAAAACTGTCAATTAGCAAGAACTCATTAAATTAAGTCCTTTCAAATTTTCTTTATACTTTAAAGATATAATTTTCATTAAGTTGATGTACACATTTAATTTTGCACCAAAAGGAACTTAGAAAACTACCTAACCTTATTATAGCAGAACATTCATTTGCCTAACCAACTAAATATATTTTAATTGTTACAATATTTAATACTAAACACAACACAGTAATATTTTTTTTTACGTTATTTCGATGATTTTGGCGATATATGCATACACAAATTTTCACTTGTCATATGGCAAGATGAGGTTTTATATAAGCCAAGATCGCAAGTTCTGCCTATTCGGCACGACATATATATATATATATATATGTATATAACAATGAAAACACGAAACAAGTGGGTTTGAATAATATACCAAACTGCGGCAGGCCAGGATTCAACCCTCACGGGACATTGTCCCACTTCAAGAGACAACACATCGTATGTGTCACCTTATCCACTCAGCCATCGATTCTACAAAGATCACGCACCCGGCAGAGCTAGGTGCTTTTCGTGATCCGAGGACAGGAGGCTAAAATTAATGCTTGTACGTACCACTGCCACGAGTGTCCTCAGATCACGAAAAACACCTAGCTCTGCTGGGTGCATGATCTTTGTAGAATCGATGGCTGAGTGGATAAGGTGACACATACGATGTGTTGTCTATTGAGGCGGGACATTGTGTCGTGAGGGGTCGAACCCTGGCCTGCTGCAGTTTGGTAAATCTCTCACTCCTGAGATCAAGAGCCCTTCAACATCAGTGTAACCCTTTACGAGTGGGACACCAGAAAATAACATGAAGAGATTTAAAAAAAAAATTATTTTGCTTCACACACTTGCCAATGTTTTAAAAGAAACATCAGAAAGTTCTCTAAATTTTGCAATTTCAGGATGATATTGTGGACGTATGTGATGTTGGTGAGAGGAGTCTGGTCGATTGTGTTACCCCAGGAAGATGAAATCTTCGTGGTGAGGCTGAAGCAAGGAGCTATCCAGGGATTCAAGGAGGAAGCCGTTAACGGAAGGAGTTTCTACGCTTTCAAGGGCATTCCTTACGCCCAGCCTCCGGTTGATGACCTCAGGTTTAGAGTAAGGGACATCAACAAGCCATACGGTGATAGAAATCTTGAGCAAAAGATTTCTATTCTCTTGTGATTTGTTCTGTATTGTCGAGATCGCATTTTTGAGATTGTGTTGCATAATATTAAATATTATATATATGCAAAATATCTGATATGAATAGAATATTCAAGCCTTTCTATATCACTAATATATCTTGATATGTGAGTATAAATTAATTTCTATATTATTTCAATGGTATTTTGATATTTAAATCATGTTTATGTATTTACATATATATATATATATATATATATATATATATATATATATATATATATATATATATAATATATATATATATATATATATATATATATATATATATATAATATATATATATATATATATATATATAATATATATATAATCATATATATATATATATATATATATATATATATATATATATATATATATATATATATATATATATATATATATATATATATATATATATATATATATATATATATATATATATAATATATATATATATATATAATATATATATATATATATTATATATATATATAATATATATATATATATATATATATATATATCGTGCCGAATAGATATAATTGGTCATTTAGCAAGAACTCGTTAAAAATTAAGAGATTTCTAAAATTTTCTCTTATACGTTCATTATAACATGCGTAATTTAATTTAGCCTAATCCAATTAAATGTCTTTTAGACAAGTTCACAATAATTTAATTTTTTTTCGTTAGGTTCAGAATGTTTTTTGCGAAAATATTGCATACACAAATTTTCGCATGCCTTATTCGGCAAGAAAAGCGTTGCTATTTAAGCCAAAATCGCAAGTTTTACCTATTCGGCACGATAATGGAAAAGGAACCAGGGAGGGAGAGTGTAAGAATTATTGAGAAATAAGCCTGTTGAGTATACCAACCAAAGTATATGGTACCGATAGATGGACTTCGGTCTCTGAGGAACCCCGTAAAGGTTTCCCCTTATTCCTAACCTCAGTCCCCAGTGCTTCAGTGCACGAGATTGGAATAGTGCAGAGTGCGGCATAAATTGATAATGTTGTTTATTAACGTTGAAAAATTGAAGGGAACCATAAGAGATATTATAAGCCATAATAAAAAATGGTAAATTATAATTTAAAAATTATAATTCAATCTTTTCAGAGAGACCAAAAAGATTAATATCCTAAACTACACAAAGCACATTAAGCTTGAAGCATAAGTTGCATATTTAAGTTAGCAACTTAGAAGGGTTGAAGATAATCAGATACGACACTCAGAAATTCTCGAATGAAAAGTGTTATTTAAATTATTCAACAATCAAACCCAACTTTTAGAAAAGTTAGACTGACCACCTTATAATAATCAGAATGCTTTACGAATGCATTGTGTACATATATGAATTTTCAACAATGGTTTTGGTGTTAATGTTAGGTAGGATTTAGGTTAGGTTAGATTTAGGTTAGGTATGATTTAGGTTAGGTTAGGTAAGATTTAGGGTAGGTTAGGTAAGATTTAGGTTAGGTTAGTAGATTTAGGTTAGGTTAGTAAGATTTAGGTTAGGTTAGGTAAGATTTAGGTTAGGTTAGGTAAGATTTAGGTAGGTTAGGTAAGATTTAGGGTAGGTTAGGTAAGATTTAGGTTAGGTTAGGTAAGATTTAGGTTAGGTTAGGTAAGATTTAGGTAGGTTAGGTAAATTAGGTAAGTTAGTAAGATTTAGGTTAGGATAGGCAAGATTTAGGTTAGGTTAGGTAAAATTTAGGTTAGGTTAGGTAAGATTTAGGTTAGTTAGGTAAGATTTAGGTTAGGTTAGGAAGATTAGGTTAGGTTAGGTAAGATTTAGGTTAGGTAAAATTGAGGTTAGGTTACGTAAGATTTAGGTTAGGTTAGATAAGATTTAGGTTAGGTTAGGTAAGATTTAGGTTAGGTTAGGTAAGATTTAGGTTAGGTTAGGTAAGATTTAGGTTAGGTTAGGTAAGATTTAGGTTAGGTAAAATTGAGGTTAGGTTACATAAGATTTAGGTTAGGTTAGATAAGATTTAGGTTAGGTTAGGTAAGATTTAAAGGGTTTGGTAAAATTGAGGTTAGGTTAGGTTAAGATTTAGGTTAGGTAAAATTGAGGTTAGGTTAGGTAAGATTTAGGTTAGGTTAGGTAAGATTTAGGTTAGGTTAGGTAAGATTTAGGTTAGGTTAGGTAAGATTTAGGTTAGGTTAGGTAAGATTTAGTTAGGTTAGGTAAGATTTAGGTTAGGTTAGGTAAGATTTAGGTTAGGTTAGGTAAGATTTAGGTTAGGTTAGGTAAGATTTAGGTTAGGTTAGGTAAGATTTATGTTAGGTTAGATAAGATTTAGGTTAGGTTATGTAAGATTTAGGTTAGGTTAGGTAAGACTTAGGTTAGGTTAGGTAAGATTTAGGTTAGGTTACGTAAGATTAGTTAGGTTAGATAAATTTAGGTTAGGTAGTATGATTTAGGTTAGGTTAGGTAAGATTTAGGTTAGGTTACGTAAGATTTAGGTTAGGTTAGGATAAGATTTAGGTTAGGTTAGGTAAGATTTAGGTTAGGTTAGGTAAGATTTAGTTTGGTAAAATGAGGATTAGGTAAGATTTAGGTTAGGTTAGGTAAGATTTAGGTTAGGTTAGGTAAGATTTAGGTTAGGTTAGGTAAGATTTAGGTTAGGTTAGGTAAGATTTAGGTTAGGTTAGGTAAGATTTAGGTTAGGTGGTAAAAATTGAGGTTAGGTTAGGTAAGATTTAGGTTAGGTTAGGTAAGATTTAGGTTAGGTTAGGTAAGAATTAGGTTAGGTTAGGTAAGATTTAGGGTTTGATAGGTAAGATTTAGGTTAGGTAAAATTGAGGTTAGGTTAGGTTAGGTAAGATTTAGGTAGGTTAGGTAAGATTATGTTAGGTAAAATTGAGTTAGGTTAGGTAAAATTGAGGTTAGGTTAGGTAAGTTTTAGGTTAGGTTAGTAAGATTTAGGTTAGGTTAGGTAAGGTTTAGGTTAGGTTAGTTAAGTTTAGGTTAGTTAGGTTAGGTAAGATTTATTGGTTAGGAAAGATTTAGTAGTAAATTCGACGGTTAGGTTAGTCAAAATGATCCGTTAATTAGGTAGTTTAGGTTTAGGCTCATAGTTTACCCGTCAGGTTAAAGTAAATTTTATTAGGATTTAGTTATAACATTAGAGTTGGTAAGATTTAGGTTAGGGTAGTTTGGTTATAAGATTTAAGTTATAAGAATTAGGACAATTTTGGTTAGTTAAAGATTTAGTAGGTAGATTAGGTTAGGTACAATTAGTAGTAGATTTAGGTTAGGTTAATTTAGGTAGGATAGGTTAAGTTTTTGGTAGGTTAAAGTTAGGTGATAGGTTAGGTTAGGTATAGGTTAGGTTAGGTTAGGTTAGGTTAGTTTAGGTTAGGTTAGGTTAGGTAAGATTTATCAGGAAACAGAATAAGTGTTTCCTGACGCGGGTCTAAGTCATATGATGATCCACAACTAGAGCTTTTGGTCAACTGACCGAAGCCTTCCACTGGCTTACCCCTCCACCCCTTGAAAAATCATGGTTATAATTATAACCATTAGATTGCTGCTTAATGATCTTGAGATCCCATAAACATACACATATAAAAGAACAATGACTTAACATAGCATAACTTATTTCATACCATAAGAGATTTTCCGGTTATTTCACAGAAACCAGTTTGGTGGATAAAAGTGATAACGTAAACCTAACATCAAGAGACTGTTTCCTTTGATACACTAGAAATATATAGATCAGAAGATGCATTTTCCAGTTATTGCTCAGAGACCAATAAAATTTGTACCTACAGAGTCGAAATCCATGAAACTGTCAATCCATACACAATCCGCACTAGGAGCTTACGACGACGTTTCGGCCAGATTGCAGCATTTATCCCAAACGTCATCGTAAGCTCCCTTGTGCGGGTTGTGTATTACTCCAGTCAAGGTTTTGTACCTTCTTGCTCTAAATATTCCATCTATATCACGCGATGCATCAGCCAGTAAAGCTATTGTTCACAATTGTTATATCTTAATCAGAGAAAATCCTAAAGCAAAGGGATCATTGTTTCTGTACAAATTCAATCCATGCAAGGTGAAGACAAGTCCTGTTCCATGGATCAAGAGCCTCTCTCCAGCATCAAGGCAAAGTAAAATAATGTAAAGTAACTTGATACCATCACGAGATTACAAGTGACAGACTGGCGTCTATACTCTTCGTTAAATATACCAACCTTATTAAGAGTAACTTGATACAGTCCGGGTGTTGAGTGGTTGTGTTGTCACCTTGCCCTGGTAGGATATACAAGTCTTGGATACAAAAGTGCTGGATGCAAAGGTCTGGATATACAAGTCCTGGATACAGAAGTCTTGGATGACACATGTGCTGGATAAACAAGCAATGGAAACAAATACTGAATACACAAGTGCTGTAGACACAAGTGCTGTAGACAAGTGCTGTATATACACAAGTGCTGTATACACAAGTGCTGTATACACAGGTGCTGTATACACAGGTGCTGTATACACAGGTGCTGTATACACAAGTGCTCTATACACAAGTGCTGTAGACACAAGTGCTCTATACACAAGTGGTGTATACACAAGGGCTGATTTTTTAAGCCGATCAGAGGAGTCTATCTTTACCAGCCACACGAAAGCAAAATTTGGGAACGGCCTAGGCAGCAATGTGCACAGGGCAACACTCATGTTAATAGTTCCAGGAATCTTGTTCAAGATACATTATATAAATTACATCTGGACCATTTACAATGCCACACTGACTGTAAATGATTCAAATCGGACCCAAACGTTATCAGAGGCTTCTCTCTCCTTCGTGCGGGTTATTTGTGTCTTGTTCCAGTCACGATATTGTGCATTATTCTTTATTACTGATTTCTTTGGTCAGGACCCTGTGGCGGCTGGGGCGTGGGAAGGCACGAGAGACGGCAAGGTGCAACCACCTGTCTGTCCCCAGCTGGACACTGACTCCTTTCTTGAAGGTCAAGTGAAGGTCAAGGGTGAGGAAGACTGCCTCTTCCTCAACGTCTTCACACCTCAGGTAATTATTATTGTAAGTGCCTAGAACAGCATCTTAGTGTGTGCAAACCTAACCAACACAAATGAAAAATGATATGGTGATATCAAGACGTGGAAAAGGACACTTATGTATAGTTTCGCCACTAATGTCTTCTCCAGTCTTTAGGACTGATGAATTAGATGCATGTGCAACACTATGTACATCTAGGTGTCTGTATTAGTAGACATTTCGCCAAACAGTGGCTTTATCAGTACAAATACATAATATGAAAAATGTATAATTATAGATACAAACGATGAGGTAATCAGTCCCGTAGTCTTGAAGGTATTTTAGGACTGAAGAAGCCACTAGTAGCGAAACGTTTCCTCTAATAAACGTCCTGAACTGTACATAAGCGTCATTCCACATCTAACAGGAATGTTGTCTGAAGACCCATGTAAGTAAAACCAGCTTATGACAGCTTTGTGCTCTAATCTTTTACTTACCATGACTCACGAATTTGTAACATGATTACAAGCCACGGTACGGGTGGAGGTTAGAACTCATGGCAAGAGAGTCGTAAAGCTCACTGAGTTACAAACCCACCGCTAAGCGGTTTAATTACCATTTGGTATAAACCTTGGTAATAAATACCGACAAGTTGGTTTAGAAAGACACGTAAGCAAACACTATAACATATTTATTAGAAAACGTTTCGGTCCTGGGACCTTGATCACTTCTAACATACAGAGGTAGAAAGACATTATATGTTATAGTGTTTGCTTACGTGTCTTTCTAAACCAATTACCATTTAAATACTCCAGAATGACTGGTAAATACCGACTGAACTAACTGCGTGCAGTTTCCATACCGACATCAGCTCACCATACAAGATAACCTGACACATGCAACTAATGCAAGATTTTATTTGTGGCAATGTTGCCACAATAAAATGTTGCCTTAATTGCACACGTGTCCTTTGGCCTAACATTATCGGTAATTCTACTAATATTGTTACAAGATAGTAAACGATCCCAGTGGAAATAAGTCACGAACTTTTTTGGGGGGCTATCCCAGGTTCTCTACACATACGCTGCTATGTATGATAATCTATGTAACTGTATTTGTGTATACCTGAATAAACTAACTTCTTACTGGCTCAAGTCTTGGATAACTGATGGAGCATTTGTGTTACAACGGAACCATGAGAAGGTTCTACTAAGGTTGTCCCAGTAGATGTGGTTCTGTGAACAGTTTTTCACTACTGTCGCCAGGATGTCAGATGGATCAAAAATAATGTCAGTGCTGAAAAATGTTGTCTTTTTTCAAAGCTGTTAATACTAAATGTAGAACACTAGTTATATATTATGTAAATGTTCTAGAGAATCGACAAGTTGAAAAATTAGGACGCTTTTTGCAACATTTGGGAGGAAGCCACTTGTGGCGAAACGTTTTCATAATAAAAACTCCCAGACGTTGCAAAAGTGTTTAATTCTACAAGTTCGATGTTTTTCATGAGGTGTTGGTGTCTCCCACAGTATGTTGACAACAGTCTCCCGGTGATGGTATGGATCCATAGCGGAGCTTTTACCGTGGGAGGAGCTGACGAATACTCTCCCAGCGTCCTACTGACGAGGGACGTGGTGCTCGTCACTATTCAATATCGTCTTGGAACTTTAGGTAATTATTAGACAATGGTTACACAAGTCTGATTGTAATTAACGGTGCATATTGTGGTTGTGCTAGCAACTTAATTAGAGATTTTCCATTTTATTCAATTATTTTCTCTCGCCATTTTCCATTTTATTTGATGTCTCTCGAAGATACTGAAATTTATTTATAATTGTAAGATTCATTAAAGAAAAACTTAGTTACATCCTTCCAGGGGTGTAAGTAGCCTGAAGAATTTAAACTGGAAAAATGAAGCTCGACATTCTGATTACCGAGACACGAGTGTCTTCGAGACCCCACCCATTGGGAGATTTATATATAGACTGTCTCCATTCAGATGCCATGTAGTAATCCCTGTATTTTTATTATGACAGTATTACCATCAAAATTAAACCCACATGGGTCATATAGCACTGCAGTAACCCCTATAGTTTCATGGATCAGTAAGGCAAGTTGATAATTAGGAAGTCGCATCATCTGATGCGATCATCGCTGTCTGATGGACAATTTCTCTTAATTAAGAATCTTGTCAACTTGACTTCGCCAGCTTGAGATGCTTCCTTCGGGAATTGGCTGTTTTGCTGACAACATGCATCAAGCTTTGTTGAACATCTCACGCATATTGGATAGTCATTTCATCAGGACATCAGTTAATTAAGACTCGAGTTCCCTTAGCTACCAATGGATAAATGTTCACTTCATGCACGGATTATCGTTCACTTTGCTAGTAATTGATTAGTGTTGACTATACCTATGGATAAATCTATCGATTCATTCGTGTTCGTCTAACTACCTAGGTTTAATATTCACTTAGTAATGAAGGACTAATGTTTAGGTACCTATCAAATGATTTGTGTTTGCTTAGTTTCAGTATGAAATACGTGAACACTCCTACCTTAACGTAAACACTCCTACCTGCACCTTAACTGTTTGCTTCATACACCTAAACTCGCACATACGTCATTGTTCATATGATTAATCTCTGTTAATTCTGGACTTAATTTCTCAGTGACAGGCCATTCCTCTCTGGTTGCAATTCCAAGAACATATATATAATTTATACGAGTTTTTATTGCATTGCTCTTTCTTCAGCCGACTTTGAGGCTATTTGCAACTTAATACTAAAACATACTTAGTTTGAATTATGATGGGATATTAATTAAATTATCGCCATGGAGTAAGGAAACATAGAAGGTACCCGAGGTTCCATTGCTTGCTGCACATGTTCGATTAACCCCAAGTAGGTACTTGGCTATTACTGGATTTTTGCTGGTAGCATCCTGCGTGTGGCAGTATATCTTTAACATGGGTTGATTTGTAATTAAAGGACCTTAGCTCATTTAATAGGCCGTGTAAAAAAATATCCTAATAGTGACGAACAAGAACAACCTTCAAGTTTTAAATGTACTTAGTCTTTGTCATTTAGAAAGATTACATTTCTTCAGTAGGTTAAAACTCCTTTAAATTTATCTTCATTAACTTGCTGTCTGGCAATAGCATATGATTGCAAGTTATTCTTAGTCACATTATATCCGATAATATCGAATGTTAAGGCAGCTGACCAGTTTCTCAACAGTAGTCCACTCAGCTTACAAACCAGATTACCCAGGTTAATTATACCGGGGAGAGACACGAAAGACTCTCACCTTGCAGTAAATTGGTGCCTCAGTGTTAGTCGACTTTCGTGACTGGGGTTTCAAGTAGGGATGTATCGGATACCTGTATCCGCATCCGCGTCTGCAGAACATCCGCACAATTTCTTACATCCGCATCTGCATCGCATCCTCATTTTTCGACAAGCATACTTGAAGAAATAGACACTTGTGACACATTAGGGAATTTTTATTGAGGAAACGTTTCGCCAGTCACTGGCTTCTTCAAATGTAGCATAACTTGTCAGCTTTCTAAACTATTTAATGCAAGATTAGTATCGAGTAACAGCTTTTAACTTGAAAATTCAGCTGTGTGAAAATAATTAGAGACTTGTGTATTCAGGTTTCTTGTCGACGGAGGACTCAGTGCTGCCAGGTAACCTGGGGTTGAAAGACCAGACTCTGGCTCTGCGCTGGGTGCAGGACAATATTCAAGACCTTGGCGGTGATCCTAACCAGGTCACCATCTTCGGCCAGAGCGCCGGTGCCGCGTCAGCCCATCTCCAGGTGCTGTCACCGCACTCCAGAGGTAAGAACTGCATACTCATTTTTGTGATGAAACTCATACGGGAATGACTATATAATGTTAATGGTATAATTCAAATTAATCCAAGCAGATTGCATTTTCTGATAATCAAATTATGAATGTGTAAACACATCGACTTTTTCTCAAAAAAAAAAAAAAAAAAAAAGCAATAAGTCGAGATTTTAAAACATATCTTTAGAGTTACATTATATTAAGCTGTATCTCCAGGACAGTCATTATAATCTAATAATGGCTCACTGAATTACAAATTTCATTTTCAAAGACTCAAGATCAGATATTTGATTATCATCCCTTAACTGTTATTATTCTGCTTATCCTCAGACATAACATGAAATTTAGTTCACATATAGGGATATGTGAACTAAATTTCAGGATGTTTGGGTTACTAACTCACTGCCACCTTCAGACACTTTAGAATCTAGAATCTGTCGTTCCCTAAATTTTTCCTTCCATAACTTAACTGTTCTAACTTACACTTCTCTTCCTTATGCTCATTCCTTATTTCAAGTTGGAAAAATTCAGATTCAGAAAGGATATAGGAAAGCACTGGTTTGGTAATAGAGTTGTGGATGAGTCGAACGAACTCTCGAGTACAGTTATTGAGGCTAAAATGTTGTGTAGTTTAAAAAATAGGTTAGATAAATACATGAGTGGGTGTGGGTGGGTGTGAGTTGGACCTGACTAGCTTGTGCTGCTGGGTCTGGTGCAGTGCTCCATCCTTGAGTGGAGGTGACCAGACTGGGTGGGTCATTGGACTAATCCGGGGGTTGGTCATTGGTCTAATGCGGGGGGGGACATGGACCTGCTTCGCATGGGCCAGTAGGCCTGTTGCAGTGTTCCTTCTTTCTTATGTTCTTATGTTCATTATACTTGTACCTCACTTTTCTCTCAGACACTGCATCAAACCTCAACCTTTTTAATCTTTGACAGACTTATTTTTTATTAATTTATATAAAAAATAAGCCTGTCAAAGATTTAACATTTTTCTCTTATTAATGCATTAAAAATTTTAGTATATACGCTCTCTGATCACTTCGCTCATTTCTACATTTTCACAAAATTTGTCTTTTAACAAAACTTTCTAAATTCCTGCAGGAACTTCTGAAACTTCTTTTAATGAATCTTCAAATAGCACTGTACAATCAGCAAACAGTTACTGTGACAACTCCCGTAAAGGAGGTCAGTTTTTTTTTTTTTTTTTTTTGAGTAAGCATCTCCTTGACACTTTAGCATATAATTCTCTTGAAGTCTTTCTTTTGAACACTAAATATTTATGGCCACAGTTCACATTTTTGTGCAAGAGCCACTTTGCCAAAGCTAATACATTCTCATTCATAACTTGAGCTTCATTCTCCTCTTGAACAAGAACGCTTTTACAACTTCTCAGTTATTCCATACATTTACAACACTTACATTATCGGTCCCCTATCCGCCCTATCAAATTAGTTTTCCGAATGCATAAATGTAGCACAAGTGTTTCAGTGTCAACACTTGATCAACACATTACATTTACAAGCACTATACCTAGTATACCTATCAGAAATACTCCTTTATAATTCCTCCAATCTGCGTTGAAACCGTCTACTGTATAGGGAAACACCACACATGTTCTTCTCTAAGTCTTAAGCGCCCTCCATTATCACAAACTTAATAGGAAATGATAGAGTGAGAGGTTGGAAAGGGGTACGAGAGAATAGCTGTAAGAAGTCAGATGGGCCACAGGGATGCAAGGAAGCATTTCTTTAGTCTAAGAGTGATCAGGAAGTGGAATGGCCTCGAAGTAGTAGGGAAAGTTCCATATATAGCTTTAAGATAAAGTAAGATAGGGCTCATATGACTAAGAAGTGAATATGGCAAGCGGCGAGTTGAATGGCGAAAACCAGGCACCAAGACTCAACTTATGCAACCACATACAGGCGAGTACATATAGGTGAACACACCTTCATTAGCTCTCAGATTTTATTAACGACTTTGTCGCCCATAAATAGGGTTATTCCGGCGTGCGATATTGCAGTCCGGATCATCGCTGAGTCCCTGGGCTCTACGAAGCGACCACAAACAAGTCGCTACCGCCATCGGTCTGGCGTTCAACTGCTCTGATGCAGAAGAAACACTTGGTGCCCTCGTCTCTAAAGAATTACTGTTGTGTCTCCAGAAACAGCCCCTAGATGACTTGGTAGCCATTCCTTCAGCCTTCGTGGTAAATATAAATATGCTAATATTTTTTGTTATTTATATTGTGTAACAGTAAAAAATATAATTCTCAAGCTGAAGGAAAGTAACAAGCATGACCTCAAATATTTTTCAAAATGGCTCATTTAATTCATTCTCCACTTTCATTTATCCCTTCTGTGAATCACTTATGTAAAGTAAAAATACTACAAGGGCAAGTGCAGCCATTTTTCGGACACTACAGGTAATATTCTTCCCCCCATCCTCAAAGTGATTTTCCTCATATATAGATTATCCATTGTTTTTAAATTCATCCACTAAAATAGTCTGCCTTTTAGTCCTGCAATACTATGTAGTTTCCAAAAACATTTTACAGCTTCTTGGAAGTCTAAGGAATGCTCTTTTTGGAAATCTAGAAAAATTTTTAATCCAGATATGCATTATACACACTTGATACAAAAAATCGTTATATACATTGGATAAAATTTTTTTTATACACATTAGAAACGAAAATCATTACAGTAGGGCCCCACGTATACAGCAGGTTAAGTTCTAGCTACTGCCGGAAAGCAGACATCGCCGGAAAGCAGAACGCCATATTTTTCCATTTATAAATGCATGTAAATGCCAGATAACAAGTTCACACTAACATATATTAAGTTAGCAATAGAACTAGGCATTAAAAAACAACAAGAAAAAATAAAACACAGTACACCCATTACTTACCATAAAATATTTGTAGTCTTAATGTAGGGCGAGAGACGAGTTGTATGTATTTGTAGAAGTCAGGTGTGGGAATTATGGTAGCCAGCCAGGGCACCCCACCCCACCCACACATAATGTAAACAAACTGACACGTCTGATTTTGGTTCATACACGTTTATATTATATCATAAAACACTTTATATTGTGTATAAGTTGTCTCCACGTTAATACAGTAGAATAAATAAAGGTGAACACTCCCATTCTCATGTAACACCATTTTTAGAAGAAATGACGCTCTGAGTGAAGGCATACGAAAGGAATAATTTTCTAGTTACTCCCTAGCAATAATATAGTGCACACATTTTCTTTGATGTTGAAATAGAGAAAACGTTATTCTTGTGGTCACTCCTACAAGTCGCCTGGCTACCATGTCTCATAATTATGTTAATTTATTCTACTGTAAGATGCATTTATCATGTTTATATGTTACGTAACCTATTTATTATATAATTTTGAAAAAATAACATAGATGGATTAATGGAAATGTCTATATTAACGTAATATACGACATTGAAAATCGGGTTGGGCAAATGTTTTGTTAGTGGGATGAATTGTAAAGGACCTGCCTGGAATGGGTCAACAGGCCTGCTGCAGTGATCCTCCTTTCTTATGTTCTTATGCTCTTATCTAATGCACCCAAGAGATTATAAGTACAATTATCAGAACACATATAAAATATGCAATAACTTTAAAGAAAATTTCCAGACATAATAGAGACATGCTCACGTAGAATGTAAGCAAACCGGGAGGGGCGCGCCGTATTAGAAAGACAAGGGGAGCCGTATAGGAGTTTTGGTCATAGTTTGAAATAGCCGTATTAGGGAACGCTGTGAAGCAGAGCCCTGCTGTATACACATTAGAAACGAAAATTATATCCATTGGATACGAAAATTATGTACATCAGATACGAAAATTATATACATCAGATACGAACATAATATATATAATTATTAACATTTTTCAAAATAGGAAAAAATCTTGCTGATTAGTAATATATTTTTTCTATTCGTGGTCGTCTCTCTACTTTTTTCATTTATATTCTTTATTACCAATTTATATTCTTTATTGCCAATTAATATTATGGATTACCAACTGCCTAACTGATCAGGGATTCGATTGCAATTAGCCGACAGAGGGTCGAGCCTACTCCACTTTTTGGCTCTGAATGACTGACATGTCGGATGGCATGACCACTGTTTCAGTGCTAGGTCTTACTATTCAGTGACACACCGTTTCAGTGCTGAACAGTTCAGTGCCAGACTATTCAGAGCCGGACAATTCAGAAAAAGAATTCAGAGCCAGGCTGTTTCAGCACCGGATTAATTAGAGCCAGGCTGTTTCAGCACCAGATTAATCAGAGCCAGGCTGTTTCAGCACCAGATTATTCAGAACCAGGCCATTTCAGCACCAGATTATTCAGCAAAGGCTGTTTTAGTACCAGACTTTCAGCGCCACCATTCTTTCAAAACTCAAATCAATAAAATAGAGAAAATATAGTACAAGGGACTCACAGATAAGGACCCACTAGGGCTGAGGAGGAAGTGGGGATAGTTAAAGAATAGATGAGAGTAGAGGAAAGAATGTAAAGAAGGATGAAAGGAATCGGGGCTTAATATGAGGAAAAGAAATATTTATGTTGAACAATGACTTATTGAATTACATACTTAAGAGATTAGTTTATTCAATTCAAAATTACAAAAAAAATTAAAATCGTCTGAAACAAAGGGAGAGGGTTAGGTAGGTTTAGGTTAGGTTACGTCAGGCTAATTTGGTAACATTGCACTCATATACTGTTTGTTTCTGAATGGACCGGTGTTGAATAGTTCGGTGCCAAAATAACATGGCGCTGAACAGGCGGCACTGAACCGACGGTGCTCAACCGGTTGTTCTGAACCGACGCTGCTGAACCGGCGGTGCTGAACCGACGCTGCTGAACTGGCAGTGTTGAACCGACGGTGCTGAATCGGCGGTGCTGAACCGGCGGTGCTGAACCGGCGGTGCTGAACCTGCGGTGCTGAACCGGCGGTGCTGAACCGGCGGTGCTGAACCGGCGGTGCTGAACCGGCGGTGCTGAGCCGGCGGTGCTGAACCGTACTCTCCCCCCAAGGAAGTAGCCGCTTCACGATATAAAATCTTCAGCCAGTGATTTTAGTACTGTCACAGCATCCACGAGATACTACAATATCTCCTATGCTGTGTGTTGTGCAGGTGTGGCTGAACAACCCCTCCGTGATGACGCCCAGAGTGGACTGGGATTTCCTGCCTGATTATCCAGAGGTCCTACTTAAAATCCAGACGATACAACAGGGTGGACATCATATCCGGAGTCACCAAGGATGAAGGAGCACTCGCTGCTACACGTTAGTATCTTCACCAACAATTTTGCTCTTAATAAATTTCATAACTAATAGTTAATTCATAATTGCCTTATAAGATATGATTATGAATTCCTTGACCTTCTGCTTGAGATCTTTCCCATGCATTATTTTGATCTAACTTTGGCAAAATTTCAAAATATTTTGCCAAAATTTTTTTAATTATATATATATATATATATATATATTATATATATATATATATATATATTTATATATATATATATATATATATATATATATAATATATAAAATATAATATATATATTATATATATATATCGTGCCGAATGAGTAAAACTAGCCAATTAGCAAGAAATCATTAAAAATAAAGGTCCTTCTAAAATTTTCTTTTATATATTTAAAGATATATTTTTCCATTTTTGTTAATTTAAAAATTAGTGATTTTGTACCAAAAGAACCTTAGGAAATTTTTCTAACCTTATAACAAGCGTAATTTAATTTAGCCTAATCCAACTAAATATGTTTTATGTAAGTTTACAATAATTTAAGAATAAACAAACACAATGAAATATATTTTTATCGTTGGATTGAGAATGATTTTTGCGAAATTATTGCTTACACAAAATTTCGCTTGTCCTATTCGACAAGAAGTGCTATTTAAGCCAAAATCACAAGTTTTGCTTATTCTGCACGACCATATACATATATATATATATATATTATATATATTATATATATTTATATATATATATATATATATATATATATATATAATAAATATATATATATATATAATATTATATATGCAAAAAAAACCACTCTGAAAGAATAGAGAAATTCCAAGCGCTTTCGTGACTACTCACATTATCATTCCTTGATAATGTGAGTAGTCACGAAAGCGCTTAGAATTTCTCTATTCTTTCAGAGTGGTTGTTTTGCATATTCTGAAATCACCTGTTTACTGTGATCTATTGCATATATATATATATATATATATATATATATATATATATATATATATATATATAATATATATATATATATATATATATATATATATATAAAATATATATATATATATATTATATATATATATATATATATATATATATTAATGCTAGACAAGATTTTAATCCCCGTAACTAGTCTTACATTATCTCTCAGTCCACAAAAGGACTCGAACCTGCCCACTCTACATCAAAGTACAGAGTATTATTACATAGCTCTGTTTTTCCTTACCATGTCAACAGCGGTTCTCATGTTCCCGGAAGTGAAGGAGCCTTTGACACAAGATCTGAATACCATCGGATCTGTCGCTATGAACTTCGACGACGAGGACCCCAGTCTTAAACTTGCTGAGCGAGCCTTCGAACACTACCATTGTGGTCACATCAGTGTAAATGCTTCCAAGCCTCTGGTCAAGGTCAAAAATATGTCTGTGTCTTCAAATAATGGGATATGAAAATGGAGAACACCCCTTTGAGACAAATGCAACTAGCATATTACCATTTTGGAAAGACTACACGTGTCACAAAAGCTCTTTTATTTAGACAGCAATTCTCTCTTCGTTGAGCTTTATAAAGTCGTAGGTATTTCATAAAGCTTTTGACAAAGATGTGTTGTGTCAGTATAAACATCTTAAATTTTTTTCTCTAACATAAAGACTGGCACAAAATAATTTCAATTAGAATTCAAAATATAGTTTATTTCTTGTCTCCAAGTGGGTTTTTTGGTTTTCATTTACTAGTGTTAACCATACTTTCATTGCATGAATAAATATATTTACAAATATCTCACATTTTGGAAACTTTGAATGTTTCAAGCCATTCTGGGCCATCATCGTCACAAAAAATGCGATAAATTTGCGAAAAAAATAATGAAAGACAGAACCAAAAAACGAAAGAGATCCATGGCCAGCTGGCCCAGTGGCTAGCGCGTCGGTCTGGAGTTTTATGACTCTCTGAACGCAGGTTCCATCCCCGTCCGTGGTATGATTTAAGTGGATTGAGATACCGACATGATGGAGGAGAGAGAAAAGTGTTTATATGGAATCCCTTATTGTCCACATATTGCCACATCTCTCAAGGTCACTTATAAATAAATCTGACATAATAGATTAAGACGCGGTGAGACGAAGAGAACTGTCACAATGACTCAGCATAGTCATCACTGCTACCAGTAAAGGTATACAATACCGATAATTTAATGTAGAATTGCCTACAAAATGTTCGGTAAAAGGACACAAGTGCAACTAATATGACTTATTGTGGCAACGTTTCGCTCTCCAGGAGTTTTATCAAGCCGTTACGGTTTGACAAGGCTCCTGGACAGCGAAACGTTGCCACAATAAAATGTCACATAAGCTACACTTGTGTCCTTTTACCTAACAACTTAATGTATCACAGACACAACTAGACAGAAACACGAGCAACCTAACTACCCTATAAGAATACAATCTCTCATGCCAAAGATGGCAAAAAAAAAAAAACATTCTTAAGACAAAGACACCATTAACTCATAACACAGGTACGGAAGTAGAATAAACAATTAACAACGCCTGCATTATAAACTAATTACCACATATAATGAAATAAATTTTGTCAATAATGATACCCAGAAGAGTCCTTGAATCTGCACTAATAAGTCTATCCCGAAATATCAATGAGATGTTCCATAACATAGATTTTTTTGTAAAAAAAAAAAAAAGGCACAATACCATGACTGGAACAATATACAAATAACCCGCACGTAGAAGAGAGGAGCTTACGACGACGTTTCGGTCCGACTTGGACCATTTGCAAAATGTGACTTGTAATAAAGTTGGTAGAATTACCGACAATATGTAAAGTAAAAGGACACAAGTGCAACTAATGTGACATTTATTGTGGCAACGTTTCGCTCTCCAGGAGCTTTATCAAGCCATTACAAACAATACATGGACCCAGAGGGTATATAAAGGCTCAGAGTGAGGTGAATACTAGTGAGGTACCATTTCGATGTTCACTAGTGGTAGTAGTAGTAGTAGTAGTAGTAGTAGTAGTAGTAGTAGTAGTAGTAGTGGTAGTGACAAAAGTAATACAATATGGTAGAGCAATTAATTCGTACATGAGTAAAAGGATATAAAAGCTATTTATATCCTTTTACTCATGTACGAATTAATTGCTCTACCATATTGTATTACTTTTGTCACTACTACTACTACTACTACTACTACTACTACCACAGTGAACAATCGAAATGGTACCTCACTAGTTTTTCACCTCACCCCTGAGCCTTTATATACCCTCTGGGTCCATGTATTGTTTGTAATGGCTTGATAAAGCTCCTGGAGAGCGAAACGTTGCCACAATAAATGTCACATTAGTTGCACTTGTGTCCTTTTACTTTACAAAATGTGACTTTGTAAATGGTCCAAGTCGAACCGAAACGTCATCGTAAGCTCCTCTCTTCTATGTACGGGTTATTTGTGTATAATCTTTTTGCCACGAAAGTACTGGATCTTCGTGAATCAGTGTCAACCTGACGCGCACCCCATCAGCTCTTCACCTCACTGTTGCTTACTATATACATTTCTCACCAGTTTTATGTGAATGAAGAATAAAAATTCACAAACCCGTGGCTGGAACAGTGCACCAAAAATCCGCACTTAGGAGAGCAACGTTAGGATGAGGTTTCGGTCTATTCTGAACTACTGTCAAATCTCAACTGAGAAAGTAAAACGTTCTACATGGTTTATCAGGTCGTGGCCCGGGTCTTCTCCAAGTAATACACTGTTTACAGTGTATTACTTGGAGAAGTAATACACATCTCCAAGTAATACACTGTTTACAGCCCTACGACGAGGGTAGTGGTGAGAGTAAAACGCAGGAGAGGCAAGATATAAGGGAATAGGGAAGAGGAGCATAATAGTAATAGTGGCAGCAGTAGTAATAGTAGTATTTGGCAGTGGTTAATGTTTGCGATGTGGTAAAGTCTACTGTATGGGTGAAACGTCAACAAATGATTCCATTGAACCACAAGTGTCTCTGGTTTACAAAGAAGGCTGTACTTCTAATTTACTTTACAACAAACGGAGCAATTAAAGCAACTGATTAACCACACACTAATTAAGAGACAAGGATTGCCCTAGACAGCACAAAAGTAGTGTAGGTAAAAAAAAAAAAACAGATAATCAGCCCGATTAAGAGATTACTAAATAAAATTCTGATAAAGATAATGTGAAGAAATTTAAATAAATGATCCTTCATACTAACAATGCTATACTACTGTCTTTTTTCTCTATTAATTTTGACTCTGCCAAAGAACCTAGCCTAACTACACTATATTATTGTGATTATAATTACATCCTCAGTTTTTAAAGGAGTAGATAGGTAAGCAGGCGGAAGGCCTCGGTCAGATGACCAAAAGATCCAGCTGTGGGACATCATATGACCCGCGTCAGGAAACACTTGTCTTGTTTCTTGACCAATGTTACCTAACTAACTTAACCTAATGTTCTTAATACCTTATGCTACATATTATTGAAAGACGTGGAATGAGGGGAAAATAATATCGGGGAATATAAGAAGACAAATATAAACCATACCACGGGCGGGGATAGAACCCGCGATCAGAGAGTCTCAAAACTCGCAATCGTGTCATTACGATTTCGTGAGTCAAGACAAATATAAATTGACGAGATTTCTAACCTAGAAAAAATAAGAAATATTCATTTTGAATAAATACCGGATATAGAAAATTAAGGTTTTCGCAAGAGAGTTGTATAAACAAACCATACCACGGGTGGGGTTTGAACCAGCGGTCATAGTCTCTCAAAACTCCAGACAGTCGCGCTAGCCACTGGGCCAACTAGCATGTATCTTAATGAAAATAAGATACCAGATGTATTAAGCATGTGTCCCAAATTTGTTTGCAACAGATAAGTGAACTGTAGATTTAAATACAAATGTACACAATACACCATAGATATAAATACAAATGAACTTCTGCAAACCCTTTGGGCCTAGTTCCTAGGCCTTCTGGCATCCATATGCTCATGCGCTACCATCCATAGGATGGATACGGGGTGCACAATAAACTAGCCACTTCCGTGGCAAAATATAATCTAGTTTTAGATGAGTGAGATATACTACCAGTTAATATCACTGACGCAAATCCATTGAGTATCATTAAGAAAAAAAATAGGAAATATGTATGAATGAAAAGATTTCAGTGTGATGAGATGCGTTTCAGTGGACTGAAGAATTACCACAGTGCTCACCTCTTATATGTTCTGCAGTGCTCAATTATATGTTCTGCAGTGCTTGTGAGAAAAAAGTTTAATAGATAGGAGTAGCGATATAGTAACAATAGTTTCATTGCCGGCTACTTGTTAAGGTAGGGTAAGTCACGCTCCTGCTATCCCTCCCCCTTTTTCCCCCTCCCCGAAAGTGATAGTTTGCTTGCCGGCTACTTGTTAAGGTAAGGTAAGTCTAGCACCCGCTATTCCCGCCTTTCCCCCCCCCCCCACCCAGAAAGTGATAGTTTGATTGCCGGCTGCTTGTTAAGGTAGGGTCAGTCTAGCTCCCGCTATCCCTTCCCCTCCTTCCCCATCCCCCCCGAAAGGTGACGTGTGGGGCTCCGGTCCAAACAGTAATCACTAGACTCACAGCTCCCAGCACTACTCTTGGATGACAGAGAGGGTCACCTGCCAATCAACGAGTAGAATTGAAGGAGACGGACTAACTTTCTGAGATATCCCAAATTTTGATCCACTTACCTGTTTGTGTATGAAAGTAGCAGGATATAACCCCTCATCATTGCAGTGGAGAAAGCCTGCTTTCCTGTCATTTGGAAGGATTATTGAAAGCTAGAAAATCTATGAAGAATGAGCCGGTGGATTGCCATCAACACCTGCGACCCCCCCCCCATCATCAGCTACGGCTACAATTTCAACAACACGCAGTGTTACCAACACCCACGTTTTATATACATTTATATTAGCGTTGAATTCAGTTATCATTTATATTTTTCATTTTTCATTTTCTTTAATGTAGGATCAATATTTCATATTTAAGTGTTTTATATTTTATATTTTCTAAATAATAAATTGTTTACGTTTGTCAGTTTTTGTTTTTTCTATTCATTATTTTCCTGAGGAGGAGCCCGCCTTGGTTTAAAACTGTCTGAAGTTGTTACAGGGCTGAGTAAGCCTTCACAAGTGGCGACCTTTCCAGGATCCAACTCTACTGAATCAAGATTCAGCTTTCCCTCTCGAATCTACCTTGGAACTTTAACGCCGCATACCACAGACGGTTACCACCAGCCATGAGTATCATTCTCTATGGTAGGACTGCATACAGGTTTTTTAAAAGATTTGGTGATTGTTATAGTCTCAATTTGTTGTAGTCAAGTCAGGCAGGATATAATATTTAATTCGCCACC